GTGTACCGGCTTTCTAACGCTGAGCAGGGTTTCGGCGGACGAAGATCTGCATGAGGTTGAACTGTACACTCAGATATTTTCATAGAGGACAAGGCGAGGCATATACAATGAATCGTGATATTTGGAGAACATGCTTCTTCGGACCCCTCAAGGTGCGAAATGGTCATGAGTATTAGGATGTCCTAATAATGCCGGAGTCTTCAGGGTATGATTGCGCAGCTCCCTGGACTACGCGGAGGTAGGTGCGGCTTAGTGTGGTTCTCAGAACCTTGTATGTGGCGCGTGCTAGCTTTGATACAATCGGAAGCATGGCCAACTATTATCGAACAAGGCAGCTTGAGCTGTGCATATCCTCGCTCGCTCGACCAGCTTCGTACTTCATGACGTGTTGTTTGTAAAACGCTCAAAGCCGAAGGTACTATGAAGGCTGCCACCTCTTAGACAACTGCATTGTCCCTTACACTGATACATCACTTTGAGCTTCCGCTGTTAGGTCGCCGTGAGGTGGAAGCAACTTAAATGCGAGTCAACTAGCATACCAATACTGCGGCGCGGCGATTAGTACCCGCTTCAAGCTTCCTCATTTGTGGTTCGCCCGCGGTCCCGCTATTGATGATGATGATGGTAATATGGGTGATCTGCGAGCTCAGCTACAAATAGAACCGTGCCGCCCAATGGGGATCATTGTTGAGCTTTCTATTGATATCTGCAACCGGACGCTGATCAGACGAGTCCTGAAAGACCGAGAAACGCGACGGAAGCAAGCCATTTTCAACACAGACCATAAAGAGGTTCTTCCTCCATTCGTACAGGGAAGGTGCAGACTCCGACATTGACGGTGACAGCGAGTAGCCTAACTGAGTGTACACCAGGTTGAACAAGCGGTATAAACTCGACCGTGGTACCCCAGAGGCTCTACAACGATCAGAATCCCTCGGTTCTATGATATATCACTGTCAATAATAGATCACGAAATCAAGTAATTTCTCACCTGAAGCTGAGTTACCTTCCCTCTGTAGCTCCTGGGACATCTTTCAAATGATCACGGAGTTTAAAGATACTCTGTTGCAAAGCAGAGCCATTGTATGCGAGAGAAAGAACTAGAGCCGCCTACCATCATCCTAGATGGAAGAATCAGAACTCAATGATGTTTGCAAAGAGATACGGGATAGCATTAAGTTACCTGTAAGTCCGTTGTGAGCGTGTTAACGTGAATGTGGTACTTGTGTATATGTACAATCTAGATCCTGGTATATCGGGTGTCTTCTTTCCCGGTGGACTCTCACTGGTATATTTCTCTATGGTGCAAACTACGGCTTGAGAAGCATTGCGTAAGGTTTCCAAAGAGGGTGGTGCCAGGTAGCTCTGAACGCGACTAAGGTTACCGGGCTTCTTGCTGCTTCCCCAGCGACAAAGGTTGGATACGTTGACATTCACCGAGAAAGCCGAAGTTGAAACCGTCAAATATGTAGAGTGTATCTCGACGAGGGAGAGATTTGAATCGAAAGCAGAGCATCCAAACTTTGGCCTCCTTGTTACCGTTCCCAACCATCCTCACGGAGGGGACTTAGGTGCGTAAGTGACGCCGTTCAATTAACGGTGTCCAGCCTAAAGACCGCCTGCCAAGATTGGGGGGATACTCCCGATATGCCGTACATGAGGCCTGTTACAATAAAAACAGCGTCAAAATGTCTCCAGTGGCTTGCTAGTGGCTCGTAAATGCGATCTAAGCATGGCATCGTCTTCAAGAGTAACCTCCTTATAAAACTGAAGCAAATCACCAATTTTTAAGGGCGAGGATGTGATACCAAGCCGCGTTTCTCACGTAGATGGTGAACATGTCTGTTTGTAGTTCGTGCACCATCAATTTTTTGTTGCTATCACAGAACCACGTGGTCTAGAATCCCAACTTAATCCTCTTCCAACACTATTGCTCACAATGTTCAACGTGGGGTCTTGACACATATTTTCCATAATAATTGACTATTCTGGAGCAATGTTTGCCCGACCTTGGTCGGTCAGTACCCTATATTCTTTCCAAATCGGACTCATCACCAATCCACTCACACCAAGGGCTTTCTTTGCCACCCACCAGATCGTCTGTTGACATTGTAGTTTGCTAACGTTGTTGTGTCCAATGGTGATATCCTTGGCATGTCTGGACCTTTCTCATAATCTTTTAGCCGATGTAGGTGCGTTTTGTACCCTTTGACAGCATGCACCCATCCGTTTGGTGAAATGTCATGTCACGTTCTCAGTACCAAATGAAGCATGGTCGGATGGCATGAAGCCTGCAAGCATCTAGGTGGCGCGGCTCCTGTCCTTTCAACACGACATTTGTCACGATCACCTTGAATGTTATGTGCACGAGTCGACACAACGATTTTCGCACATGACGTGATGGACAGCTCGACATATGGACTCCTCCAAGATGTTCCTGATCTTCATATGATAACTTCTACCGCCGGTGAAGACGGTGTCTCTTTGGTGCCCCCCCCCCGAAAGCTCGCCCTAAGAGTACACGCCTGGAAGGAGGTCCTGCATGATACATGCGTCGAAGGGGGGCAACAATCACGCCCCTACAGTGTTCTAATTCATTAGCTGGCTAGTCCAAGACCCAAACCTTGTCAACAATACCGAGTATGTCCGTCCTTATGGAACTGAAATCCCATAGTGGCTTTAACGCGTTTCTTGTTCAACAAGCCACACATGTCAATGTCAATCTACGTGACCCACAGATTCGCGTGTCGCTTTTGAGTCCGCTTGAGACCGTTCGCTTGCCAGCTCTCACGCGGAACTTCTTCGATCCGGTGGTACACTTTTTTCCGATTCTGGCCTATCCTGAATTGTACGTTTCTTCCAAATCGGTTAGTTGCACCGTATATGGAGTTTGGAATAAACGCTTCTTGGGATTGAGCGAAGCCGGAAACACAGTCTTGCGAATTACTGCCGATCATTATCTATTTCCATGAGGATAAAACTTGTCTCAGGTCTCACTTCCTTCACTTCCAATCACTGACATAAGTATAACCCTCCCTATACAAGGCAACGGGTGATTTCTAATCCTCGGTTACAAAGTGGATCATATGAGAGGACTACATGCCCCTTATCGATGTGCTGAGCTATTATCTGGCTTCTAGACAGCTTTCTTCATATCAACTCAGACTTGTTCTGTCGGCCAGCTCTGTTCTACCTGCATCGGGTAGAGCATTCTCGGGGTGATGTGGGTCAGCCTATAGTTATCTGAATGGTATGACGCAAACTGCCGATCCAATTCATAAAAGTGTAGCGAAACGTAACTCAGACTACATCGATGTGGCTTAAGCTCTCAACTTGTCTGGCTTATAACAGGCACATCGTAAGTCAATTTTTTTAAACTCAGTAGAGGCCATCCAAATTCATCGGAATGCTCAGGACGGGACTTGGACGTGATCCCTCTTAGTTTAAAAAGCCTCTGCGCTGATTTTGTGTACTTCCACACTGCCTTCCTTACGGCTGGACGCTTCTAATGCGGCTCTGGAGAGCAAATACCCACCCCATCGACTTTCATCATATCATTAATGTTTCGTTGAATAGGTTACAATGTTAAACAGCCAGGAGACCCTGTCAAGGGTGTGTCAATATTCTCTTTGTTGTATTGAGGCCATCGGAAGGACGTTGCAGCTGCCAATAAGTCCCCAACTGTCCTCAGTTTAGGCAGCGATTGTTACGAGGTCACGAAGATGGAGCCAGAGCAGACTTCTGGTGCGCCTCGAAGAATGGAAAGAGTGTCCTTCAGCTCAAACTCGTATAGCCCTCAATTACTCCACGACTTCTCTATAATGCTCAAAAGTAATACAACATCACACCGACAGAAGCCGAGTTCAATTTGTAGGGGGTCTGAATTAATCGTCACTGACCGTCTGCGTACGCGTTGAAGCGACTCCTAAGCGATAGGGTATGGAAGGACGGTGTATATACTTCCTCGCACATGCGACCATCCCATGGAAGAACAACTCGCACAAGGAAACGGCATACCCATATATATATCCACCTTTCGCCATACGTGTCGCCACCGCCCTCCTTTAGGCCCGTCGAGATCTGCGGATCGCGCGGAGTACCTCTTTGCGTCGAGGAGGGTAGACGCACATTGTTCCGAGGACATGATGCAATATGGTCGCGCATTTCCCCGTTCATGCTTTGATGCTGATATGCTGATCAGAATTTGAACATGGTGTACACCATGATCCGTTTGCCAATCAATTCCTACGCCGACCAACGAGCAACGTATGTACAACGCTTTCGTTGATTTTCTTGATTTTGAAAAGAATAGTTCGTTCATCTTGCATACTTCTCTGTAAGGCTGGTGTGGCTTACAGTACAACTCGAACTGTTGCATATATAGCATACAGCGGCTGAACAGGCATTTGTTCAGTCGTCTCACCTTTTTGGCTGCAAAGGTTCTCATTTGTGTGCTTGGGACCACGCTTACAGTCTCGTGGCGTGGCGTTGCTCCTGGAGTCAAAAGACAAGTGAACCACTATAGCGGCTTTCCGTTCGCCGCAGACATAAAACCACGAACACATCCATTGACCATGATCGTCGTAAACGTAGCCTCCACTTCGGTCTCATCCAAGCCTCATTGGCTCGACGTGTTGATCCGGAATATTCAGCTTCGTCAACGATAGAGAGGGACTTAAGGGGACGATCTAGCCTTCGCCCAATTAGGCTGTTCTCGGGATCACTGCCTCACATCTTTGGTTCTATCGATATAACCTGCATGCGCTCGTCTACTTTACGGGGCGAGTCTTCGAAGGTCATATCGCTCTCTCCTTGTGGATGGCTACCTACCATTGAACTAAATGCTCTTTCTCAGAGGTTTCAGACCGCTCTTTATCATGGCCACTTTCAACACTTTCTCTTGAGCCCTCAACTTTTGCGAATTCCCTAGACAATACCGTTCCTTCCTCCCTACCTTATTTTTGCCACCCATTCAAACAACGAGATAACCCTAAAACCACGGTGACATGGCCGAGCGGTCTAAGGCGCCAGAATCAGGATCTTCTTCGGAGAGCTTTTCATCTGGTCTTTCGGGGCGGGAGTTCGAATCTCCCTGTCATCATGGAGGGGATTACTTCAGGGTTTGTTTTTTCTATCTGCGAATATTGTACACAACCGTGACCATCAACCAAATCGACCGAACAGTTTGACCCGAGAGAATAGATGATGTCATTCGCTTCCTTCAGTCGGGTGACCTTACTGACAAAGTTGTAGTGCGAGGCTAGTCTGCAACTGAAGTGAAACTTCATTATGCAAAGAACCTGTGACCTTCGGTGGTGTGGAGGTGGCCAATTGCTCTATGGCCACATCCCCAACCATGACAGCAGTTGCATTGCAATCTTCGACTTTCCATCTGCGAAAATAGCCCGTGTATGATGGCAATATTCAATGTTGGATAGACGAACTAAAGAAGGATTAATACAATATGGCATACAAATGCTATGAGGGAACGGGGGACAGCCTACCGACACTGTGTGTAATAAACATTTCCCAACCCTTCAAGAGTTATTGATTCGGAAGAAGTTGTCGCGAGCAATTGCATGAATAAAGCCAAGAGTTAGAAGGGATATGAGATCGCAGTCCATAAAGGCAAGTAATACCGGGTATAACATGACCCATCTACGATCGCACCTGTAGAATGGTGTAGGTGACTCCTGATTCCAATAAAAGCCATATAATATGAATATGCCAAGTTGTGAAGATAGATTTTTTTGGCCCCCGTAATCCCTTATATGCGGACCTGGTGTAAATCAGTTATGGCACAGAGGCTGATGTAATGCTGAGGATAGTGAAGATCTAGTTGTTTATGGCTCCTTCCCTTGGAAAAATTTCGCCATTGGAGTGGCCTGACTGCCACAGACAAGCTCTCGCGCACAGTGCAGATGCGCCAAACGCGGCTAAATGTGTTGTGTCGCTGGCTCTGCTACTGACTACGCGACCAAGGCCCTTGCCAAACACAATCAAACAATGCGTGGAGTGTCGCCTAGTGATCATCGCGGGTCTGGGTAACCCGTAACGGGTAGGTGCGGGTGGGGGTACGGGTTCAAAACTAGTTACCCGTTGGCATACCCGTACCCTCAATGCGGGTATGGAGGGTATCACCGCGTATGACGACATATTTTGCACAGCATATCGATGTGTGATCGCATTTCAAAATGAGTTACAATTTTTTTTCTCGATTGCTCTATTGAAGGTCATATAGACTATAAAAGAAAGCTAAATAGCTTGAAAAAGCTTAAAAGTACTTTGAACAACACTATAACTCCTCATACACTCTCATAATCTTCTCATATCACCCAATGAAGATCTCTTGACACTGCATCTAATCTCATTCTTGACTGAACGTGCTATTGATAATCCTGAATTCGAAGCAGCTAGATGAAAATGAACCAGAGGTGTGCTTTGCTAGTTTTTCTACATGAATAATTCTCTCATCTTTCATAAAGACTGTTCCAGAGCCTTCGACATCTCGTAACATATTTGATAACCTTCCGTCCGTGTTGCTAGCACCCAAGATGAACTCGACCATTATCTCAGCACAGACCCAGAAATTACTGTAGATGCCATTCAGTGGTGGACTAATCAATGCAGTATGTATCCACGGCTCTCAATTATGGCCCTCGACTATTTATCAATCCCTGGCAAGCATTGACTCACTCATATATCACTTGCTAATCATGTCATTATTTTTAGCTACCTCAGTTGATGTTGAACGTGTTTTTAGCCGTGGACACATTCTATTGTCTCACCTTCGTAATCGTCTCTCTCCTAGGAGCACTCAGGCTTTGCTGTGTTTTGGAGATTGGGTACAAAAGGGCCTAATTATGGACAGGGATTTTATGATAATCAAGTCAGGGGATCCGACCACAGAGGAGGCCGTGAATGATGTTAATTAATCATATTACATCTCTCCTTTAAAATAATCTCATTGTACATAGACATATACAACATAGACTACCATTTAATATACTTTCCAACTGTACAACTTGCAGGAAAGTTGTCCACTTTGCGGGTCATGGGTATCCATCAACCCATGAAAGACCCTTACCCGTACCCACACAAATCTGATACCCATTTGAAGGGTACAGGTTTTGATGGGTATGGGTATGGGTTCATCAAAAAATACCCAAGGGTTACCCGTGATGATCACTAGTGTTGCCAAGATGCGATACTCCACCGTGATTCATATTGAAGATCATTAGAGTGAGCATCACACTTGTGTGCAAGCACAAAATGTTAGCAGTCCTCAGAATGTCCTGAGCAGACCCAACATACCTAGTGAAGCCACACCTGACAATCACATTGTTTCGAATTGACTGAATATTGGCAGCCTTAGTTTCAGATGAGGTTGGGTCAATTTTAAACTTTGGAATACATACATGCCAAGAACTGCAGTAGATGTTATAATGGTGATCGTTCTGATGGCAGATCTTGTGTAAGGGCAAATGGTGTTCACAGTGTCAGTGATGTGCCCTCTCAGTCATTTTCCAATAGTGAGTGACACTGGCTAGAAAAGGTGTGTGCTCATTGGGGTTTGGAACAAGGTCTCTTTACAACCACCCACCAACCATGGGATGAGATTGTTCCTGCTGTGCATGCTTCTTGGGGTCAGCACCATGGTTTGTTCACTGGTAACATCATAGTACTTATATATCAGGCAGATGCATCTAACTTGGTGATGAGCTTGGAAGTGGCAGATTGTTGAGATCACCATCAAACAAGTTGTCAAGTGCTAGGGCTAGTGACAAAAAGATATTCCACACTTAGGGATCCAATAGATTGGAGCGCAACATGAATTGTATTGACTTTAGATAGTTTTAGGTGTAAAATGTGTAGTTGAACACTGTCTCAAAAGAAAGTCTTACTTCTGGCCAGGCTCAGGCTCTTATCAACCCTATGAAGCTACAACTTTGGAACACTATCCAGACCACTCCCTGGGGCCTGATAGTCCTGATTGTACTTGCTTTCCTCCTTGCTTTCTTCCTCCATTTTATATTAAGCCAGGGTGCATGGACCACCCAATCCCATTGCCCTACTCCAATATTCTGACCCCTTTCCTTGATAACAGGCCTGCTCAATTGAATTGATCTAGGGGAGGGACCATGTGGTGCACCTTGGTGCCACATGGTTCCATCCTCAACCTTTTTCCCTCATAACTATTTTTGTGCTTCTCTGATACTACCTGCCTCCCTTATCTATTACCCATTCCCAAAGTTTTCCCAACCCATTCCTGCCCTGGGATGCATCAGAACACATAGCACACCCTCTTGAGCAGAACAGGTCAACAGACTGATGTCACCATTGATCTGCTTCGGTAATCACCAGGAGCTGAGCCAACTTCCTCTTTTGGGCTCAGTTAACTTGATTCCTTTTTCATGGTAGTCCAACCTTGCCTCTACCTGGGGTTGACCCCATGCAAGGCCTTCTTTCTATCCACTGGTGCCTCATTCTGTGAACCTAGATAAATAAAGGTGAACAAAGGTGAACATCAGTCAACAAGGTCAACCAGTGATGGGAAAAATGAGGGAAAATGATGGGACATTCCACCACTCATCCAGTGCATTGCTACCTTGCCTCTGTGTGAGGTTTATCCTGTGCAAGGCCTCAGCTTCTCCTTCTTCCCTTTGCATTGGGTGTACCCATACAGAGTCCTGCTCCTCTACTGCTGAGTAGGGTAAAACCTTGCCCAGCACATCTGTCAACTAGAGTCAGACTTTGAACTTGGCAAGGACTAGTGCATCACTGCCTTGCCTCTGCTGGGGCTTTTGAGCCAAACTGGGCCAGAACAACACTAGCCAAAATGTTGCTATACTGAGGGCTCATATCAACCTAAACAAATGGAGTCAATGCTTCAGCCCTAGTGTGAGGCAAATTGAGATTGACAGATTTGGTACCACATGTCTTCCTTCATTTTCCATTTGTGTTTGTGTTACCAAGGCCACTGTTCCCCTTTGTGGCCCCAGACCCACCATATATGGGCTCATTGGGCATGCCTGGCACAGTGCTAATGTAAGGCATAATGCACTACTAATAATTCTTAGCACAACAACAATGATCTAATAGGTTCAGGATCAGAAGCTTGGCCAAAGATAGAGACAAGAACACATATAGAACTCAGAAGTGCTCACAAGTGGCATAAGGAGGTGGGATTATTTTGAGTTCCATTTGTGAAATGGAGAGTATAAATACAAATGCCCAGGTTTATTGTTCATCATACAATAAAGAATGACTGACTTTGTGCTTACTTTGTCATCTTGATATGCAATGGCTAATGTTGGCAGAGCCTTTGGGGAGCTGAAAGAAGTTTAATTTACAGTGTATGTGGGCACTTCTCCAACACATTCTGTTTGGGGTAAAGTATTTTTTTTCACATTTTTTAAATATTTTTTTAGGAGAACTCACCAAGAAACATTGATTCCTGCATTTTCATATTTTTTCCCATGTGTTTCAATTTCTTTGGGGCTGAGGAACAAATTTGTGGTACTTATCTGAGCTGTCAGCTGACAGATGTAGTACCTAGCAATAAAAGAAATGCAAATTTTCATTCCCTGCTGCCCAGCCTGTTGAAAACCCAGAATGCATTGCAAAGGTGGCCATAAAAGCAAAGCTGCAATCCAGTGAGAAGCAGCAAAATGTGATGAAACCATACCCCAATCACTTCCACAAGATTCATCATTGATAAGCAATCTGACGTACATTGAAGTTGACAATAAGTTATAACTTTCCTTACTCATTTGATGATAGATAGGGCCTTAATATCAAACAAGCAGCTTATGCAGTGAAGAAATACACTTTGCATCAGTGTATCCTTAATGCAATCATGATGGATCTTAGTATTATCACATACAAAAAACACTACAAATTGTATTGGTTATGCAACTTGAAGACATGTTGTTGGTCTCTGACCATGATTTTCCATATTTGCAACCCTAATGATGCCATCAGCTTATGTAATAGAGTTTATTTTACTTGTCCTGTGGTCAAAAATTTATATTTGCTCAGATTGAACTGGGAACCACACTGAAAGATATGATATAGTAGAGATGTTCTGTGGTGTTTTTG